ATTTAAAGAAGACTACATCCCATGAATGGAGCCTGGATCAACCCTTGTTTTTTAACATGCCTTTTTTCATAGAAATTCTAAGGAAGTGAATTTCATGGATTTACTATAAACTAATCAAAACTGAAATTGTTTATATTGCAATTTGCCACCTGACTTAAAGTACTGCACATGGCTTTTAGATAAATTTGTACAGTATTAAATGTTTATTAACCCATTGGTGCTTTCTTGCACTAAACATACTGTATGTATACTGTACTCATTTAAAATGTTTTAATCAAATACAATGATTCCAGTGCTGAGATAGGATATTGCTACTATGCAGCAACCACAATAAGGTATAGTACTGAATAACAAAATACTGTATAACACTAGTATCATCACACTCTACTGTTTAAAAGAATCATTATTTTAATTATGTACCGTACACAGAATGATTAATGTGTATAAATAGTAACTAGAAAAGAGATAATCTTATTTTAGATTTTGATTATAAGTGTTTTACATACTGGCTTTAAAACATATAGTATTAAAAAGCAAATAAACACATAACAAAAGGCCAGATTGTGTAGTGATTTCCAATGCATACTATAGTGGTATTATACAAGTCTGCACTATATTTAGATGAATGTATTTAAATTGTTAATATTGCCAGAGCAGTGTACAGTAATATGATTTTAATGGTCAGCTGCAAAACACTGTACTAAGTAATGGCATCTTGATAAAGGCAGTGTGCAATAATGAAACAAACACTACTGTATACTGTAGTTGATGTACTGTACAGTATAGATACTGTATCTATATATATATATTACTTCATGGAATTTGTTAATGTGTGTGGCACACTTGTATTTTTTGTTCATTTATTCAATTCACATCACCAAGTTAAAAAATATGTGCTGTGAACTACTATATGTCCTGTTCCTTTTCAAATAGAGTATAGGAGTAGGACCATCTTTAATCATTCAGAAGGGGGGTGCATAAAATATTAAAAAGAGAATGTTTTTTTATTAAAATCCATCAGATACAGTATCTTCACAGCATCCTCTATTCTTAACTTGCTCTGGTAAAACTTTGCCTGACTTTGTGATCAACGGACCACAAACCACAATCTTATCAGTCCATGCAAAAAATGACATCAATTGTCTTCAGGGATCCAGCTGACATTAGAGCTTTGCAGAGAGGTTAGAGATCCCTTTACAGTTTGCTGATAATATTTATTTGAAAGATTCCATTTCAGCATACTTTACTTTCACAATCTCTTAAGCCTGTTGTCATGAAATGGCACTGACCTGGAGAAAGCTGCATCCATTTTACAGACTAAGGAATCAATGGTGTGGTAATTGCCCGGTGTCTTTGCTTTTGCCTTTGATTAGGACAGGAAATGCAGAAGAAATACAGTACATGAAACTGCAGAAATCTGTCATTGGCCCATCAATGCAACTACCATCCATACAGCCCTTGGCACTTGGTGCCCAAACACCCATTCTTTTCACTTTGTGACATAAACAGTATTTTTTAGCCATCCAACATTAGAAAGTCATCAGGATTTAGTCATGTTGTGTGTTGTCAAAGACAACTGAAAATACTGGAGCTTAATATGAAAAGAATATTTGACTCATCGATCAGCTTTTCAAAAAAACAATATGATATGTAATTGACTAGATCTCCCCTGGAGAAAAGACATTTAAAAGTTTCTCACTAGTAATACAACTACAAGAAAGTAATACACATCTTTTATAAGTATACTTATGCAGATTGAAAACACAACAGCCTTATTACAAACATAATGGTTGTTGCATTACAATACCTCACTGGGTGCATACATAATGCTGTTTATTAATTTTAAATTAATACAATAGGTTGAAATGAAGTAGATACAGTAGGTTTCTTGGTAGTTTGAGTAGCATTGATCCTTTGGATGACAAAGCTAGTGACAAAGGAGTGATCATATGGCTCCAAAAATATTCCATGTTCATAGGTATTTTACTTGAGTTAAAATTTCTAAAAACACAACTTTCATTGAAGGAAGAAGAAAAGAAGATATGACATGAACTGCCTGAGTAATGAAGATCACCTATTAGCTATTGGCATGATTAAAGGCACCCTATCTGTGAGAGTAGTTGCTCAGAAAATGGAATAATCTGCTTCAAAAATCAGTGGCTGAAAGACAACATTGCTGTCTTCTGTAGATCAGAAACCATTAAGGCATTGGCAGATGTCAATATATTCCAGTACAGATATCAAACACTGATATGCCAGTACATTGGAGTACATTGCAAGGATTTACGAGAATGCCCTATGCTGATAGGCTGAAGGAACTGAAGGAAACTTTTTAGTCTTAATCGAAATGGATTACGAGAGGACTTCAGCCACAGATGGAAAATCTGCAAAAGCTTTAACAAAGTCACCCCAGTGGATTTCTTCAGAATATGCAGTGTAACTCAGAAACCAGAAATTACTAATGGGCACTACACACTGAAGAACTGAGAGCAGGAGGCATTTCTTTACCCAAAGGGTTATGGGAGAATGGACCTACTGTAGCTACCTTAACATTTTGTTGAAGATGATACCCTGGCTCCTTTCAAGAAACAGCTCAATGAGTTCCTTGGATCAATTATTAAACACCAAGTGAGCTAGATGGACGGTTTCACCTCCTTTTATTTGTAGCTAATATTATTTTCTTACGAGAAAATGACTTGATATTCACTAAGCAGTTTATTTCGGATAATACAGTAAGTTTTTACCTCATTAAGCAGTTCAAGAACAAAAAAGGCTGAGTTTAAAAATAAATCATTGACCCTTAGTACAATTTAGACAGTTTGTGTGTGTGGGGGAAGGGGGGGGGGGGATTAAAAGAGCATCACCAGCCTTAAGATCCAACATGAAATAATTGCGTTCCTCCATGCCTAAAACATGGTGAAGTACAGCTGAAGAAATTGATTACCCAACAGCAGAATAGTGTTCTGACTATATTTAGCCTTGTACATTTAATGAAATTCATCCATTTAAAAAATAAATTAAACCCCTGAGTGACATATATCATTAGCATCACCAATTATGTCTCCTGGTCAAAAGAAAGCATGCATTAAAGTAATAAAAATAAATAAATCATGCATCATAAAAATAGAGTGCTTTTGCAAGCATTTGGAAAATTCTGGGGGTTATATGGGACATGGGCTTGTGGTAGGTCTTACTAATGTTAGCTAATGTTGCCAAAAATGAATTGCTTTTAAGGAAAAAAATATGGCATACCCTCAATAACATTGTACAATTATCAGTTGACTTAATCTTGCACCATGATACAAATCGAATTCTGCAGTCCAGAAAATGAAAACATTGTGGATAGAAAATGATTCCACTACAGCAGTATATTTTTTAGAAACTGTTATTGTAACAAAGATGTTGGTTCTACAAACATGTTTTTCAAGGATAAATGTTTTATTTTTGTTCTATGAAAATGGGGACAATAATAAACTGTCAAACAGATAAAGTTTGTTCAAGGCTGTGTACTATGAATAGTGAAAAATATTTGGAAACCTGTTTCTTTGCTAAAGAAGTGCATTTACTGTAATTCTGTCACCACATAGAAAAACAATTGTAATCCAAACTATGCATCACATGATGGAAACATTCATAGTGTGTGTATGCTCCATTCCCTGAAACAGGTGTCTCATAAAAGTTTAATGTTGATTACATCTTATATAAACCCTTGTATTATCACAGGCATTAGAAAAAGTAGAAAAAAATGTTAATATCGAGAACTTCACATCTGTTCTGATATAGAAGTAGACAGAAGGAGATGTTTATAAGCTGCAATGTGTATAATAGCACACATTTGTTCTAAATGCTTCTGAGTTGATAAATGCATAATGGGAGTATTCAGTTTCACATGTATTAATAATTTTATGTTTATGGTGTTGTTAATATTACTATTCAGTATGTTAGCATTTGACCCTGAGATGGACACATTTTCCAGCTAGAGGGACAGCAGTCACATGTTCACAGTACTGATACAGTACAGTACAGTCCCTTATCTTTTTGGGACAAGCCAAAACCCTTTCCAGGATCTTTCTGATAATATTATATATTCTATATATTACGTATAAGTTTTCTTCCTATCTCTGAGACTTTAGTGCTGAGATGGCCAAATAATATTTTATGCAAAATTTCCTTCATTAATTGTAGTTTATGAATATTTGTTTTGATAGGAGAATACAGTACATGTTTCTAGAAATAAAGAAAACGGATATGATTAACTTTATATTCTGTGATGCTCCATGGTAAAGCTTAGCTGACAAAAAGCTTGGGTTTGCAGAATGTTTCCCAACCCTTCATTCCTCATATACAGTATAACCCACATCTCATACTAATTGGACTTGTTTTCTTCTTTTGGGCCACATAAAACAAATTTTAGGAAAGCAAAGCAATCAGAGTTTGCGATAGTTAACTCTTCGATGCACTTTGGTATATTTGCAGATTTCATCTCTCTCATTCAAACTTGACCTATTTTGTAAACAGTGGGGAAGGGAAAACGGGAGGTTTCCTGAAAAAACAATCTAGCAAAAGCTACCACACCCGTCAAACTCTGCCCTTAAACCTATGTAAATAAATTTAATAAGCAAGGCATTACATTAACTGAAACCAACAGTCAATAAAATACAAGATTTACAGGGGCTTGATTTCTTGGGATAAGTTTACCAGTTGTAGACCCCTACATTGGATTCTAAAGCCTATTCAGATGATGTGCTACTTGATACCTGTAGTAAATTAAATAAACTTTTTTAGCTAGACTGAAGATTATTTAAGACATGAACATCAATATCATTGTTTAATTCTTGATTCATTTCAGAAAGCAACATCTCATGGACATAATTGATTATGTATTTTTGAAGGCTTCTAAGTTATTGTGTTATAGTAGCAAACAGTACAATTATGCTCATACTGTATACCATATTTGAATTGCATTGACTGAATTTTCATTTCAAATCATTCTGTTTCAGAGAGCCACATTCTTGAAGATGTGAACAAATGCATCATTGCCCTTCGGGAACATGATTTTGAAAACCTTGACCGTTCAGCAGGTGCAATCCGAGGTCGAGCTGCTAGAGTGGCCCATGTGGTGACTGGAGAGATGGACAATTATGAGCCGGGTGTTTACACAGATGGAGTGATGAAAAACGTCAATTACCTCACAGAGAATGGTATGTCATGCTGGCAGAATCATTAAGATGACATAACTTCTGTACAGAGTATAGTAAGATAAATACTGCATTTTATCGGATGACATGATGGAGATCATTTAAAATAACATTGGCATGTTCTTCTGCTTAATGAGCTGCATCATTTGTGTCGCAAATTCTGACAGGTTTTCAAATGCTGAGCTTCATCACATAAGTTTAGTTTCACATGCACACAGATACCCACCCTCAGGGAATCATCTCGCTTCACTGCACAGATTACTGACAATACCTCACAGTTCATCATGGCAAAATAAAACAGTGACATTGACCTGAAGAAATGCTTTCTTACCATTTATTAAGCCTAACCTTGATAAATCATTCAGGGGCATAACAATTGATTTATAGCTTACATCTTTTTTTTTCTTCTGGTTTTGGCTAAATTACCTCTTATTCATATACTGTATATTCTAGGTTTACAATCTCAGACTATGCCACCAATTATTATTTAACAATATTAAGGATTTATTTTCAAACCATCTGTAAAAAGGTTTTGAGAAACTAAAGATGAAGAAATACAATCCTAGAGATGTGCTTTTAAGCAGGTCAGATGTTTTCTTCCTTAAATTCTAGAAGAAAAAGAATAAAGCATTGAAGATTTACCAGTGAAGGGACATAATTCAAAATGATGATACCACAGCACCAGAGGCAATAACATACTGTACATAGACACAGAATGCCTCCATTTAGGTTATGCAAAAAGACAGAACCACAACTGTATGCTTCATGATGTGTTCGGACATTTTTATTTATTTAAAAACATACAAACACACATTATAATGCCAAAACATATTATTTTTTAGAACTGGATGCTTTTGCCATACATCATTTCCTTTTACTGGCAGATGCGGGGTCATTTACTTCATATGTTCACTGGCATGAAGTTTGTTCTCTTCACTGCTCAAGACATCCCCTACATTTTCTGTCCATGGCTCTGCTGCAAATTTTTATAGTCTTTAGTTGTCTTATTCTCATTTGTCTCTTGAAAACACTGGAAAGTGCTGCACTGCTCCAGAGTCGAAGGATATCCAGTTTTATCCATTGTGTTAGCAATGGTTCCTGTTTATCTGTGTATTTTAAAAGTGCTCAGCACTATAGACTGTAACATTGCATGCTGCTCTTTAGTTTTTTGTGACTTCCTAAGTAAATATTGTTTAAAAAAAAACTTTAAATATCTTTGCTTGTTGCCATGTTGCCTAAGGTAGATCAGAAAAACATACGTGCACTCTTTTCAATATCAATTTTGTGTCCCAGTTTTTCTTCCTGTGGATGGCAGTGTATTGAAGCACACATTTATTTATTTTTTATTAAAAAAACATTGCACACAACATGAGGAATGAAGACATTTGGATTTGGAACATAGAAATAAAAAATGTACTGTACATGTAACATGACAAAAATGTTTCAAACTCTTTGATTGATATACACTAAAAATAAGTATATACAAGAAATAAGCAATATAAAAAATAAGCAATACAGTGCCTAGCAAATATATTCTCCCATTTTACTGACATTTTGTTTTCATCCCAAAATGTGTTCCTTTAAGGTTTTATTAAGAGTATTGCATGCATGATTTTGTGTTAGTGTCAGTGTTAACTGAAAGGGAGGTGAAGGCACTGTATATTTGTCAGAGATAAAAACAAATGAGGATATAACAGAAGAAGTATACAAAAAATGTTTAATTTATAATGGGTTCTGTGTTTTACCTAACATGCTGTAATTCAGGATTTGTTTCATTAACACAATTTAAAAATGTATTTGAGACATGATGACTGGAAGAACAGAGGAGAAGAGCAATAAAAAGAAGGCTCTTGGCAACCTTTATTATTCTACATCGCACTGCATGTTTTAATTTATTGTATATTACATTGAGACATCACCATAGCTATAGTAGCCAAGTAAGAATTTTAGTTGATAGCCAAGATTTGTATTGTTAAATACATTTTTTCTAACAATAGAATTATACTGAATTTCTACAGAGGAAGTACCTTAGCTCAGTGGTTCTCAAAATGTGATCTGCGGACCAAGTGTCCGCCGCAGGCTGACCTAATCATCTTTCTTAAAGCAAGTGTATGCTGTTAAAGTCAGAGGAAAGAATATTGTAGCGTCCGCTACAAAGGGGCTCCCGCTGGGAGCACCGTTAAGAACTGCAAGCTGTAAATAGTGGGAGGAGGGGTTTGTGTTGGTTTTAGGTATCGAGGTTTCACCAATTGTTAAGGGGACTGTGTGTGTCAGTAATGAGGTGAGCACCAGCCTAGTCGTAGGCTTGGCTGACTTGAGGGTCTGCTGAAAGGGCAAAGTTTCCATTCGTTCTCCTTGGCTGTACCCTTCTGTTGCCTTTGTGTTTTAATGAAGCTTGAGTTCATGGCGGATCATCTCGCCTCTTCATTCTCCCCATCAGCGCCTATCACTTCAGTGTTTTAGTTTTATGCACCACAAATGAAATGATGTCACACGTTGAAAATAATTTGCAAAGAAGAAGGCTCTACACAGAAAGAGACCATATGAATTCACTAAACTGAATTTCACTGAGAGTTGGAACTATGTCTTATGGGCAGGTAAACAGAAAAATTGAGCTTTACATACACTTTCACCACGTATATACAGTATTTGATGCCAGAAAGATGAAGCAGAAACTGATGCATGTTGGGATCTAAACCTTACATCCTAAAATGACTGAGAATGTGGCCCCTTCTTTTTCTTGACTACAAGGCATGAAAAGAAAAGCAAAACTGCAGATAATAGTAATATTGGAATAACAATGATTTGATAGTAGTGTTGGATAGCAATTACACTTGGAGATATAAAAACAATACCAGTGGATCCCCAAAGGACATCATGGTTCTAAAAACATGTACAGTATATGGAGATATGTTTTCATATGTGCCCATATGTTCCTAGAACTATATATAAGGAACTCACTTTAATTACATTAGCAGTTTTGAACATTTAATGGTTAAGTCTCTAACACAAAATGTATATAGACCTCAGGAAACATTTAACATTTTGGGGAAAATGATACAGTTTAAAAAAAGTCAAAGCATGAGATATGGACAATTTGGCCTTTTTTCTTAGACAAATTTTCTTGTCCTTCAAGATACAGTAACATTTGCTGTTGTTTCAACAGTCAAGAAATTGAAAAGAGATTCCACAAGTTTTCAACCTAATTTAAATTTATGCTGAACATCTGTTATTAACACATTAGAGAAACATTTGTCTAAAATTAGTTGTATCGACAGCAAACCTGTAATACGTAATATGTCTTTTTTCTACAATCTGTCTTTATTTTTTAATTGTGTTTATTTACTTATTACATTATGTAGCATGCCATTTTAAAATAGTTTCTGTGTTACTGTATGTCATACCAGTTCATTTTTTAACACTTACATTTCTTTAGGTTAAGACTTGAAAATCAAGGATGTTACTGAGTGAATCTGCACACAATCAGTTATGGTAAAAAGGTTTAATGAGTTAGATCTATCTTTCTGCCAAAGTGTAAATTGGATCTCAATGCATGATGGGTATTTCAGTTATACATTTTTCAGGCACTCTAAAAAAGTCTGTTTAATTTGTAGGCTTAAAGGAAATTCGATAATTCTGTTTGGATGCTTTGACACCTAGTTAGGTTGATTCCCCAGAAAAAAGACTTAGAGTCCTCCAATGAAATAAAAAGTTCAAGTGAATCAGAGTTCAATTTCAAGGGAATTTTTCTCTACAATAGTAGAGTAAAGGCATTTCTTTTTGTTTTTGGTGTATTATCACTTGTACTGTAAAAGATTTACTAAAGAATTATATTAAAAATAAATGTACTAATGTTCAAGATTTTAAAATCCACTTATTACTTTTCCCTGCTAGGGATTTATAGTCAGACTTTCTGCAAATCCTAAACAGTTGCTATGTCCTAATAGAGAAATAACCTTTCACTTTATTAGTGTAAAGTCCATACCTTATGTTTTTAAGTCTCAGTATGGTTTGTTAGCAGAATGTTGTTTCGAAAGCAACACCATCCAATTCAATTGTGTAGGTTAGGGAATTAAGGAACAGCTTTAATGGTTTTCTCATTGTGCATTACACACTTCTTTGGCAACACCTTACATTAATGGTTCTATTAATAGCTGGCAATTGATGTTATATATTTTAATCCATTTATGTGTTACAAATGACATTTCCCATTATCTAAATAGTTGGTTCTCTCAAGGGCCACTGTAATCAATTCAGATTGACAGAACCAATGTTGTATGGACTCAGATACAGCAGTGTGTTTGTTTAAAGAATGCTATAACCTGTAAGACAAGAAAATAAGCAGAAAAAAATCAATATATTCAATGTTTTAGCATTTTGAGATTAGAACTACAGTAATTCATTCTCTACTCAGACGTTTTAAGGACAACATTGTTTGATGTCAGACATTTTGTTTAGGTTTCCTTTGTCCCAAAGCATGCATACTCTTGTAACAGTCTGTAAAAAGCCTGAAATTTTGGCTTTTGTTTCTACAACTCTTGGATTGATTCCAGTCGATGCATTAACTTAAATGTTAGACAGTCTCGTGGTATTTCACATACAAAAGTCATAAACAGAACACTATGGGAAAATACCCATGCAATACTGTTCTTTCTTTTACATTTCTTTCATTCATGGTTCTATTAATAGCTCTTGTGGCTATTCGACATTTTCCAAAACAAATAATTGCATTCTGTCCCCATTGCACACAACATTTTGTAATCCTTCACTTAGTTTTAAAAGCATATAGTTACTGTACTTTACATCCTTTGTTACTGCCTGATGTATTTTATAGTAGCAGAACACTATAAAATATATATTACCCAAAGTGTATGTATGGTAATGAATCAATATAAAATTATAAGGAATTTATTGGTGTGTTTTCCTCTTTCATACTTAGTTGAGAACATTGTTTCAACACTGTGTGAATTATTCACAACGTGTTTTAAAAGTTTTGTTTTTTT